TATCCAAACCGGATAAGTTGATCTCACATAGGCCGGTACGCCTATTATAAGGCCAATGATGACAATAATGAGAACTTCTGTTGAGTAATCCCATCTCAATCCTCTAGTGTATACAATCGCCAATATAATTGTTATTCCCAACAGATTGTTCATTGTAACTTCCTTGTAGATCTACAAAAAAGTATACACAATAACTCAATTACTTTTGAGTATCCACACCGATTTAATTAATGAAGTTTCAACAAACTAACCTCAGAGAATTTGTCAGAAGTGACTCTCTTCTTGTCTCTCTTGCGACAGAAGTGAGCAGACAAAGCATTCTTTAAGTTTCTTGCCAAAGGGATCACCACAAAGACAACATAAAACGAAGGAACTCCAGCGGACACAGATAAAAGCTCGATGTTCATCATGAAAGGCATTGCAAGAAAGATGACAATTAGCATTCCTAGAATGACTTCAAGGACAGCTCTTAAGGCTCTCTTTGTGAGCAACTTTCTTAAAAGACATTCCTTTGGTTGTTCCATCTTCAAAACTTCATCTTCCTCCTGAAACGAACAATTTGTGATTTTCTTGATCGGATCAAAACAGTTAAAAAGAGAGTTGGCAACAAGATTGTATGTACTTACAGCTTGGTTCTCTGTTGGACAGTCAGTGCGAGTGAAGGTGAATTTGTACTGTTTCAGCCATTTCTCGATCCCATTCTCGAATTCAGTCTCATCTATCTCACCATCTTTATCGCTGTCTAAATCAGCAAGAAATGTAGTAGCCAGCTCATTTATTCCACACTTCATTCTCCCAAGCATCCCAAACTCTACCGTCAAATCTTTTAACTCCGAAACTTGAATCTTTCCGTCTTTGTTTACATCTATTTTTTTGAACAAACTGAAGAACCAATTTCAAAACCAATTAGCTAACCGTATATTATCTCATGTTCCTTATAAATTATATATGGTTTCTAACAAATAGAATAAAGAAACAGAACATGATCAAACAATCGTAGCTTAGAAGTTGGAATAAAAGGAAAAAAAAATGGATATAAAACCTTTTTATGCTCTCTTTACTTAGTTGTCCATTTCTTATGAGGCTTTGAGGTGAAAAGTTCTGCAAGTTCTTATGAACTTCTGACATGAGCTCAAACCTCGCCTGATCTAAGCTCTTTGCTTGATCCGCTATATCAAAATACTGCGAGTTTCGACAAAAAGCGTGTAAGGTTAGTCATAAAAAGATAATTATTTTTGAAGCTCTTTATTTATTTTTTTGGGGTGTCTCATACCGAATAAATAAAGTAGACAACAGATGCACAACCAGAGATAATGAGTGTGATCAAAACGATGATGTCGTCCCAAGATTTTGAATCGAATATCGCTGAAAATGTGACCATAACGAAAGGCAATAAAGTCAAGAGCATAATCCCTGCCGCTTTCTTGTTCTTAGGATCTGCATCTATGCTAGTTTCTGCGTAGAAAACACACAACAACAACAATAAACAAAATAAGCTTCGCGCTAAACATTTTCGAAGAAAAAAGAATGAGAAATCTGTAATGGTTTTAACATACCAGCAATACTTAGCAAAAGATTGTTCTTGTAAACTTGTCGTCTTGGACTCTTTGCGTCCTGTATCAAATGTTTAAATCAGGTCCATGCTCACCGCACGGAGTAAAAAGCCGTTTCTTTATTGAGCAATCAAACAATTACAAGTCTAGCCACAAAATGCCCTAGTGTGAGAATGACCATTACAATAGTCTCAAGAGCCTGTATTTATAACTAAATCTCTTTTCTAACTAACCAAGTGTTTTAAAAAAAAAATACTAAGAGCATTTTATATGGTCCTCTCTCATTTTA